TGGTTTGGAACTTTGCTTGCAGCAATCCCAGACCACTGGAATGAGACAAATCTGTGCAGGCAAGGAACTTGACTTTCATCACTTTTCCAGTAATAGAGAAAGCTATAAATGCTAGTGGCTAAAGTATTGGCTTCAGAAGTAAATTGGATTGTGTGTGGGTGATGGTTGAGAAGTCAGACTTACGAACAAGATTCAGTGTCCTTTTTTAATGGCACGTTTTTACCCAGATTGTCAGAACTTGTTCATTGATCACAAATCTAATTTGCCAAGTCAAAATAGCAGAAAGGGACAAAAAGTGATACAATAAATAATATGCAATGTACATAATTGTTTTTTTAAAATTAAAACGTTTTGTGGTATTTCTACATACTGAGCAACTAATAAGATTTGTGAGAAGTTACTTATCATAGAAGAAAATGTCAACTCTGTTAAGAAAATAAAGATGAGGAGCAATTACATGCTTACAGAAATCACTGAAAAAGTCTGAAGTAAAAACAAATACAAAACACTGATTAGGCTAAAGTATTGTGTGACTCCTAAAAGACTTTGATTATAACTTTCCACTGTGTTAATTTGCGAGTGAATGATTGCAATTATATATATTCATTTTTTGAAAAAGGGTAGAGAGCCACATATTTCTTCTAGATTGTTGTATCTATTTACAGTCTAATCTGGACAGAATCTCTACCAATTCTAAAACTTGAATGTCTATAATTATCATAATATACCAGGAAATGAGGATCATAACAAGCATCTTGATTTACCTATTCTAGCTAAGTGTACCATGCCAGAGCTCCTAAACACTTTCTTCTACCCCCTCTCTTTGCCTTCAGCACTTGGGGCTCCTTACTGGAGCCCAGAGTGAATGTCAGGGGCTGATGCAGTAATCATGCTGCTCCCATACTGAAAGCCTTGACAGGCGAGGTTCAGGAAGGCTCTTCCATGGTAAATGTTGAGATTTACTGACAGAGGCAACTGGTAATTCTCATACACCTTTATCTACCTATATGTCCTTCGCTTTCCCTCTCTGCCTTCTTTTCTACCAGCCCTTTTGGGTTGGTTTATTGCTTCCATCTTCCCACAGATCTTACATGTCCCATATTCCTTCCCTCTGTAGTGTTGAGATCTTTTCTGCCTCCTCTTCACCCCTTCAACGTCCCCTGCTGTTGCTCTGCTGTCCCTTGTCTATTCCTGTCCCTTCTTGATTTCAAATCTGGTAGATTATGTACCTTGTTTCTGCTGCCCTTGATCTTGGAAATCTTTATTCAACTGACTTCAATTACCTGCTGTTTGTAATTTGGTTTTGTGTCTGCCCTATAAATGCTTTATGTCCTTGCAAAACAATGATGTCATTTGCATGTTTGAATTTAGCAGGGAAGTGAAGGAAAACACTGTCTGCTTCCATAGCTGTAAAATGTCTTTTTTTCTAAAATAAATGCTGAAGTGCACTAAAGATCTGAAGAAAGCCACACAGGATAAGGCAGAAAATGTAGACATATTCTTAAAGTGCATTTTGAGAGACTAAAGAATCCTTACAATTGGATACTGTAGAGAGACAGGTTGATCTTTGTGTCCTGGGAGCACCTCTCATCCATCATGCAATGAAGCATCATGAGGCACTGCAACCTCCAGAAGCACTCTGGCCCCTGTGTTCAAAATTCAACGTGCTTCTCATTCAACATCCAACGCCCCAGTTTTTTTCCACCTCCTTTGGGGATTGCACTCCAGACAGCTCACCAGAACTTGGTTTTTTTTAATCTAGCAAAGGCGCTGTAGTGGTGACTGGTTCTTTTGGGAAACTGTACAGTTGAAAGGGACCTAAGTGTATTAATGAGCATTAGTTAGTAACTAAACATGGCATGGTTGCATTTAAATGCCTCCTCATTTTAATATATATTTTTAAAGTGTCTTACTTGTTTTCTGAAATTGTGGTGGTTTGTTTGGAAGAAGAAGGATAGTGTACTCTGCAGACTGAAGGACATATGTCTAGGTATGTAGTCACTCTGCTTTTTCAGAGGAGAAGAGTGACTCGGATGTTCATTGGTTCAGGAATGATTTTTAATTAGGCAGCAATAGCCCTCTCACTCTGCAAAGAAAAAAGGTTGAGAGCTGTAGAGCAAAAGTAGATTGTGCTGCCTGAGCACTGCAGCCCACAGTGCTGCCTCTGGCACCAGTGCTGCTATCTCAGATAGGCTGGGATGACTCCTTGGGCAGCTGGGGGTAACACGGGGCACAGCTCTATCACCTGACACACACAGCAATAACCTGTGTGCTGTCTCATTTCATAGCAGCCAGTTCTGCCAAAATTCAGCCGAGCGATGCGAAACAGCTTCTCACCCACAAGCTGAGATGAATCAGGAGGGATGGCTGTGCTATATATATACAGAACCCACTCAGCCAAAAAAAGTGAGAGTAGGGGAAGGATTTAAATCCTGGCAGGGTGGATATTTTTGTCTCTGAATAAAATGCAGTATTTATAGCATTTACTGACACAATTCTTATTTACTGCAATTGGAGCCATTGTTCAAACTGTTTTTTCTGAGCCAGCATAAAGGGATTTTTGGGGAACTAGAGGACATTGTATGTTTCCAAAATCTAAACCTAAATTCTGCTGAAGGGAGGGAGAAGGGATCTTCCATCTCTGACTATAATGTCAGAGAACACAGTGCTCTTAACAGTCTCCTTTATCAATACACTTGAACACAGTTATTATCATCATGAGCTGCTGTGTAATTACCGTTGTTCCCTAAAGAGTTCCTGTTTCTTTGCTATTTAATTATGTGCATTATTTCAGCATAACTATGCAATTTACTCATGTCATTTGGAAACAAATGTTTCAGGCAAGGCAGTGTCATATCACAAGGATGTCATAGTCTGGGCGTGGCTGCTGGAAATGTATACAAAGACCTACAACTGTCTTCCAGATGAATCATACAGACACAAGAGTTCATACGTTGCTCAAGGTAGATGCCTGAAATAGTTGTAGATGTCCTTTGTGTGACAGAACCTGAAGAAACTTTAGTGCCAACAGAAGTGGGAAGGTAAAAATATTTAGTAACTCTTTTTCCTTGGATCCAGCTACAGTAAGCATATGTGTTTGTTTCCAATCAAAGAGCCTTTTTCTAGGGAATATTTCTAAATAAATCTCAGTTCTGGGGAATCACTGTTTAACTCTTGCCTGTCTTTTGCTGAGAACAGTTTTCATGTAACAGCCATAATTGTAGGGTCATGTGGCTTTTAACTTTTTATTAAGGATTTATTCTGCTTAAAAAGGGGGGAAAATGTGACATACAACAGCTCCTGTAATTTCTGACCAGAAGATTTTCTTGTGATATTTCTTGTCGTTTCCCTGCATGATGAGTTTATCAAAATACTCTTGAAACTCTGTTCTAAGGAAAGTTCATTGTTTGATGCATGTTCAAATGATCATCTTAGCATTATTCTGAGAAAGAGGGCAAGTAAAAGGCCCCAATGGCCAAGACACATTTCTAGCCACCTCAGGGAGACACATACACTGCAGCAGGCATGTCTGCCAGCAGCTCAGGTGTGAGGCTCTCTGTAATAAGGACAGGATTTATCATGACCATACGTAGGGAGTCAAGTGTATTTGTACTCGTGCTTTGTGATTTAAAATTGCCTCTTTCTTGGTGTTGGAGGTGGGAAATGGCACAGTTTCAAAACAAGATTTAAAACATCTGGATTTTGGAAATGAACAATTTAGTAAAAATTTTGACGTGGAAAGGGCAAGTATCATGGTAAAAGGTGGATGTCACTGTCAGAGTCATCAGCTCCTGGCATGGGAGGCTGGAAAGGAGCATTGAGACTACACCTTGCTAAAAATGACAATGTAATATTAGAATCATAGAATCATTTACATTGGAAAAGACCTCTTGAGATCATTGAGTCCAGCTGCTAACCCAGAACTGCTCAAGTCTACCACTAAATAATGTCCCTCACCTACAAATCGTTTTTTCTTAGCATGCACCGTGTCCTGGGATGCATATTAGTGAAGGGTGTTTAAGTATGTATAAGCATATTTTATAATGAAATAGTAACAAAATGAATATACTGAGGGGACTGGATGATATCAGCATGTGCCTGAGATGCAGTATTCTGTCAGTGATAAGCTGGAAGCCTTGCTTTGTGTGAAGTTCTTAATGAGTGCTAGAGCAAAACCAATCAAGAAGCAAGAACAAGATGTGATGGATATAAAGGATGTATTTATATATTTGTGACAAGAAATCCATAAAAAAAAACCTAGAGAATTGCACACTGCAAACATGATGACACGTTTCTCTAAAGAAAGAGATGATAGTCCCCAGCAAGAAAAAACTAGCAAAATATTCTGATTGGAAGTAGTAACAAATCTTACAGAAGTGTCTGAAAAATAACTTATAAAATCTTAGAATATTCACAAGAAGCTGTATGCTTTTTTAGCTCGGTTTTAGTACATATACAGGCAGAGTTGCTCCCATATGGAAAAGAGAAACCATTGAAAACAACATTGCAAAAATGATTATATTCAGTATTTAAAAGGAAACTCATGAACAATATAACTGCTTTTGTTGTGATTATTAATTGTATATTAAAAGTTTAAGATAGTGATACGCTAGACAAAATCAATCTGAAAGAGATGCATGGACTTTAGTTTCACCGTAGTCTTTTTTTACAGACTTTGAAGTCATGAATTGAAATGTAGTACTTACTGAGATGGACAATAGAATCCAGAAGAGAAGTGTAAAAAAGGATGTTCAGTTTCAACATTTACCATATTATACTATCACCAGAACATCTGAGTACTCTGAAACAGAGTGCTCTCTGAATAATAGATATAATTAATTTCATCCAGAAATTCTGATGATGCATTTATTATTCAGAAGATTCTCTCCTATATTAACTCTTAAGTATTCAGTTTAGTCACATCATCTACCAGGCCAAATGTGATATGAGATAAAGGCTTATGTCAGAGTTATTGACTCTCTCTTCTTTCTCTGTAACAGACATTTTTAGTTCTCTGAATGATGGTACTGAAGTGCACCATTCCTTTTGAGATAATGGCTGAACAGAAGATAACCATTTGGTTTTTCATCTATCATCTTATTACACCCTGTTTTGTCTACTCCTTGGCAGCAGGTAAGACGATCTTCTGTGTTAATTCCTTAAAGTAACTGTTGTTAGTTTTATGTGTTTCAAGGACAATTAGAATGTTTTTATGACTTTAATTTATTTGTGCTGATACAACAAATTACTAAATGTGAACAACGAAACTGGCAGGAAGCATATTTATTAGAATGGCTGCCATAATAAAAAGTTTGAAAAAAGACAGATCTGGACTTTAAATTTGGTGTTGTCTAATTTGATACACAGAATGAAATCTTCCTCTAGGTTATAAAACGTACATCAATTGTCTATTGTGCACAGATGATCAACATGTTTAGAATAATAAAAAACAAAATTCTGTATTATTGACACAATCTGAAATTCATAATTTTTCAGAAGTCCAGTGTAGTGGTAGTTTTTCTTAAGACAGTGGGGTAGTTCTGCATATTCTAATTTAAATTTTTTATTTAATTTTTTTTTCATAAGTAGAGGTGGGGCCATAAATAATAAAATATTCTGGAGTCATATTTCTACCATCTGCATTTAGAGAAATGTTTGCAATTGAAATTTTAATTCCATTTTAAGAGATAGAGGGAGGTCTGTGAAAAGGCAAAATTCCAATTGTTCCAAACAACTTTGAGATTTGTAAAGCTTGTTTCAGATTTCCATGCCAATTTAAATGAATGCTGGTTTTTAGTTGCTGGGATGGATTTTTCTGTTTGTATGAACACAGCATGCACAAATATCAACCAATATTTGAAAAGTACAAACATTGTGTACTAGTATTTTGGTTAATTTCAAGGTAGGCTTTAGATCCTTCCCTACTTTGAGGGTCACAGACTTGCTTACCTGGGATATCATTTCAGGCATTACCTCAATTTCCCTACCATGAGACTATATTCCTTATTACTGAGTCAAAAAATCTGTTTTATACTGTGATGTAAGCTCATTGCCTTTAAGAAATCAGTCCAGAGCCCGCAGGAATGATTTCTGGTTTAGCAGGAACATTACTTTATTCTGTGGTTTTGAATGGTGTTCTTTAGTTCACATTTGAGTTTGATGGAGGATTTACTGATGCCTAATAAAAATCAATACCTTCACAATATATTTGCTGTGTATTTCAAGAGTTTTTTTCTTTGTTAAGATGTGAGGCTTGCTGATAGCACCAAAATTGAAACTTTAAACTCACTACTTTAATTCAATACTGGGCTTTTCCTGAAAGAAGAAAATAATAATAAAGGAAAGACTGTGAAGTGCTATCAGTAATGTTACACATATGATTTTGCGCTGGACCTGTTGACATCAAACAAAACAATCAGCTGCAGTAGCCAAACAAGTGCTGGACACTGGTTGATAAAAGGGGTGAGTCAATCAAGGAGAACAAATGTTCAGGTAATTTCTTTACAGGGAGGATCAAATTATTAATGTTATTGTGTATTCTGCACGTCACATTTGTGCCTGTTAGCAAAAAAACCCCTTGGCTTCAGAATGTAGCTGCTGGCAAATTCCTGAGAATGGCATTGGAAGGTTGTGTGCTGTGAGGGTAACAAGTGACATAGGAAGAACAGAGTGGGCTATTTGATCTCTCACTGGACTGTTGCTCTTGGCACTCTTAGATTCCCACAAAAAAAGAAAGGAGCCGTTGGTGTGAAGGATTGTGAATCCAAGGCAGGTTCTAATGGTGCTGTTACTGTTCAAACATATTTCCTAACTTACCTCCTGGTATGGAATAAATACTTGCTTGCATTTTTCATCAAAAGCCAAAGTTAAGATCTGTGGCCCTCTCTAAAGGTATGGCACCGCCCTCCAGTGTGGAAGATTCCTAGTTTTATATAATCAGAGTGTGTTTGTTTCTGCCAGTATATTACTGCAAGGCTGAGTAGTGCTCTGCTCCTGGACCTGCTCTATTTCTCATAAATCATTAAATCATTAAATCAATAAATTTGCATAAATCATTAAATAATCTTTGGAGTGGAGAGAAAATCTGCTTCTATCATCTAGGATTTATGGCACCCATCTAGGTTATATAAATCTGGTGTTGCAGTCTTTGCTCAGCCCCAGCACTTGAATCTTGCTGGAGGGTTTCTTATTTCCAATGGGTTTGAGAGATGCTGGCAGTTAGTCTTAATTGTCTTGAATGTATTTCTTGGCAATGAAAATGCCATTGTATCCAGAAAATATGTATCTGAAGTAACCAAGATGAAATATAACAGGTTGCTTGGAAGTGTTCTCAGTGTAGTTAAAAATTGAAAGATACTGAAGTGAAAGAAGGAGCACAAGTAGCGTGATCAAGTCAAGGTCTAGGAGGTCTTTCACACAGGATGTCATCAAGGGAAATGCTGGCAATGTCAACAGTAATGGAGGATGTGTAAACTGGGGACGGTTTTTGAGTAAAGATGATTTTCTCATTAAAACAGCAAGACAGACCAAGTTCCAGAGTGAAGAGGCAAGGTAACTGGAAGCAGCTACTGAAAGCAGAGTATTTAAGAAGTTGCTTTAGCACCTTTTAGCAAAATACGTTTTCTCTGGAAGTATATTTGTCTCCTCTTGCCTTCTGTGCTGCTGGTTCCACAGTTCTAGGTGGTTCTACTCTGTAAATTGCCTTTTTGCAATTCATGCTTCCTAAACAGACCTACTATTATATTAACTGCTCTGGACCCAGGAAGGTTGCTGATACATTGTTTTGAGATGTGTCACCCTGTGGGTGTCCCCAAGTTGAAAGATAATCAGCCAAAAAAACTGAATTCATGTATTTCACTGAGCATGGAGAGCCTTCAGACTATAACAGCTAGAAGTATTTGGGAAACAGAGAGCTAGCAACCTGAAGCTGCACTGACTTGAGATGGGCCTGAAGTGATGACAGGTATTCTGACACTCTAAAAGCTGAGGGGTTTTATTTGTTTTAAAATTGTTCTTTTTCTCACTGGGGGAAATTCTAAAAAAAATTCCCAAAGTGAAATGCATATGTTTTTAGAATTTTAGACTTTGCTTTGGAGCAAATACCTTGATTTTTTAGCCAGTTCTGTTTTGTGGTAATTAAAGACAGAAATTGAGAACTGTTGCATTGACTGGCCATTTCTTATCAGTGGTGAATGTGCACTTCATTAACTGAAGGGAAGCAGCGATTTTATGAATCAGTGCATCAGAGGTATAGGCAGAGATCATATTCTGCAATGAGACAGGAGCAGTATTTATTTTCCAGGTAAATTAGTGCTTGAAGTGTAGTCTTGCAGATATAAACTGGTGAAAAAGCCATAAATAATTCAGTCTTCCACTTACTGATAGAACAGACAGTTGTTACAAGAGTTGCTTTTCAGAGTGCACTTTGAGTAGTGCAAGGCAAATGAGAGCAGCAAATCACTCCTCAGGGAACATGTCAGTGATTGTCAGTCCACTGCCAAAAAAGTTATTTCATGCCTATTACTGATAATAGTTGACTCTTCTCCACTTCCCCCTGAAATTTCTCCAACGCACTTCCATGTTGCCTTTGACTCCCCTTTAGATTCATGTCCTGTTGCTAAGTCTGAATTTCAAACTTTTCTGTCATCCTCTACTTCCCATGTAAATCAGTGAACTCAAGTGTGTCACTAATCTATCACCAAAAGAATTAAGACTGTTCTTCAACTACAGCTTCTTTTGTTCTTCCAAAAGATCAAAAGCTGCAAAAGACCCTGTATTTTATTGTCCTTAATGAATAGAAGATTACATTTGGCAATGAAAGGAATCAATAGTGAAAAATGTCCTTCTGATAATAAGTTTTTCGTAAAATGTTCTACTTTTTACCTTGGGATTTGATAGTGCAGAGCCAGACAGTATCTGAATTTGGGTAAGATCATGCCTTAGAAGGCAGCTTGTCTCTCTAGTAAACTATCCTGAATTGTGTAAAATGAGGCAATAGTCCAGGGGTAAAAATGTCAAAACCCTTCTGCTTTTTAAGCAACCAAATTTCCAAAAATCACTAGGAACTGAAACTTCAGAGAAGGCTGGTAAAGCAAGAAAGCCAGTAAGATGTAGAGCCTCTCAGTGCAATACAAATATTTTGAGGAGTACATGGGGATGCTGAATTTCTGAGTGTATTGCTGATATTTCATATGCACCAGGAAGACACCTGTGGGGAGATTGTGCAGAATAATTACTGCACTTCAGCTTCATCCCAAATTTGCTGGTCACTGGCTTTCTCTAAATCATGGGATCAACATGTTAGGCTCTTCTGTCACTTCTTAACTTAGATTTTTAAGGAAGAACCACCTAAAAATAAATATTGAATAGACAAATGGGAATATGTTTAAAATACAATAATTAGTATTGGATGACATTCCTCTTGGCATTATGAGAAGACAAAAAAACTGTACTCTGTTAGGCACAAGTGTAGAAACTTGCTCTGCCAGGGACTGGAGCTTTTCATACTTGAAACTTGTTGTAAAGGAGAAACTACGTCATTTACTATGGGGCTCTTCCATGTCCTCACTTGCACATAGGAAATAGAAGTAATTCTCCTGCTCCTTTGAGTCCAGAAAAATAGAGGCCGCCTTCCCAAAGACATTTTTAATCTTTCATATAAAATGAAGTGGGAGTGCTGGAATGGTTACCTTTTGTGTTTGAGTGCTGACTGGCTCTTGGAAAATGATTTGCCTTTAGCATCTTGATGATTTACACTTACCCTCTCTTCTATATCAGGTGATGCTAGGTTATGAATTTTTTCAACATGAACACATTACTGCTTCAACACATAAGCTTCCCATGAATGCCAAGTACAACTTTTCCCACATGATTTAGAGAAGTAAAAAAACAACCAAGCCCCCAAACCTTGAATTATTCATGCTTGGACATTTTCCAGAACAGTAAGTTCAAAAAGGCATTTCTGAACTGGGGGCTAGAATCTACATTATTTAAAGCTTTTTATCACAACATGCAGAATTATTCACGTTTTCTAAAGAGAGATAATAATTTTCTTCCAAAAAAAGAAGTGGATGAATATACTTAATGCCTGTTTACCTTGTCTGGCTTGTTGTTGCTTGGATCTTAGAAGACCATTTCATGCTACTGCTGAGTGTCTGACATTCATAAATAAATAATCATAATGTGTTTGGTGATCACAGTGCTCACAAATGTGGAAGTGTCATTTTATGTTCCTGCGTGCCTACTAGAGATATTTTGGCTCATTCTCAGACCATCTTGTTTTGAGCATGAGCTTCTCAGACACGGGTGGGTCCTCATTTCTCTGACATATTGGAAACGGTAGAAGATCTACTTCTAATTATCAAATGGTTTCTGGTCTTGCAAGGCTAATGCAGAGCCTGACAATTAGTTAAACTGATAATGAATGACTCCAAGGCTGTTATGTGCAGCATCCTTTAGCACTCAAGGTTAATCTAGCCATGCACCATGTCAATAGATCTTTGTCCCTCTCTCATGTTAAAGTATGTAACTGGATACAACACTTTCAGGTAGATCAATACTCACACCCAACTGTCTCGGGCAGGCACTTTTGGTAGTGTTAAGTGCCAGGGAAATAGATAGGTGTACAGGAAAGAGAAAGAGAAGGAGAAGACTCGTTAGAAAATGTCACTTGGAGAATGAATGATACAACCACCTTCCAGAGGGAAAGATGCTTATACAGGATCCATAATCTCATCAGTTGAGGAAAGATTTTCTTGACCTTTGCACAGACTTCCTAATACATTCTAGCAATATTAGGTGTGAGTCTTGTTTTCAGAATTCCCTGAAGAATGCGTCTAATAGTCAGGTGATAGCTTCTGCTCCAATTTAAAATACAAATGACAAGAAATTTACCCAAAACATAGGGCACCATCTTAGAGGTCAGACAGTCCATCCTCTTGTCTAAAGCAGGACCCAAACATAGGAAATGTGCTCTTCATCACATCTCAGTTTGACTAATATATCCATTTTTTTCTTCTTTCTCTACTTCTCTTTTTCATTTAAGCACAACTTCAGTGGGCTGATGCTTTTCCTTGTACTCTTTGTCTTCCCTTTGTCACTCTCCAAACTTTGTCCCACAGTCATGGTACTTCACTTAAAATGTGAACATTTCTTGCAGATTTTTTTCACAGCCTTCTTCTCTTCTCTTCTCTTCTCTTCTCTTCTCTTCTCTTCTCTTCTCCCATGTGTTGCTTCATATCACTGATCCATGTGTGGTCTTGCGGCTGAGAATAAAAGGTTTATTGTTGGCCATACCTGAAATTCAGTGTGCACATCTTTTTCTGTGCAGACAGACACCTGAAACCAGATTCATAATAGATTGCAGCAGAAGTGCCTTTATAAAGCACATTTGATAGGTGTGAGAAGCAGGCATTCACTCAGTATAATTAATAGTGCTGGCAGCATTAAAAATGCATGCCATGAAGTGCCTAAGTGCTCTGCAACATCATTTGAGTCCTGAGGTGAAGAGTCAGCTGCATATGAATTGGCTATTTGCTGCTGGAGACTGTTGTTATTATGTACTCATATTTAAGAACTGCACAGAACATGCCATCAGGTTTCTGGCTTAGTCATTCCAGTCTCTGAGAAAGTATGTGAATCTTGCCTTTTCAGTATGAAATTAGTTCTTCTTTTGGTCTAGCAATATGTAGATTTTTGTACTCTGTTGTGCTTTCAGATATGAAAGAAAGCAGACCATTGTTCAAAAGCTCTGCCTTTCTAACTGCTATTCTTTGCTTCTTTGAAAGAATTCTCTTTACATGAAGTAGTTTTTAAAAACTAAGTTTTCTGACTATCTGTCTCACAGTGTCTTCTGTACCTGCTCCTGTCCTCGAGGGAAATGGTTACTTTTTTACCATTTACCATCAATTTGAAGTCAAAAGGGAAATTGCTTTTTATCTGCAAACAGTTATCTTCTAGTACTGTAATCCAGTGTCCATCTATGAATAGGGAATTTAAAAACAGTAAAAAAGATATCTGCAGAAAGAATATTTTATGTATATGTGGTATTTTTACACTGGTATAGTTCACATTCCTTAGGTATATAGAGAGACTCTTTCTTCTTTTACAGGATTCCTAAAAACTGTCTAATTTAGTCTAAAATGTTTTAAGACCAAACACAGGACTTTTAAGGGCATGAGTACAAAGTCATCATTTGATTTAAGAACATTCATCTTTTACACTGCCAGTTTATTTACTGATCTGAAAAGATTTTTTTTTTTTAATTAGAAGACATTCTAATTAAATTTTTATAGGCAGCACAGATACTACTGCAAAATGTTGGGATTTTTCTGTCCTTAACCATGGCTTTTGAAAATAATTTCCATCCTCAACCATTGCTTTTGATTTAAATTATTCAGCCATCTCTGAAGATCTTATTAGTTAAAGCTGTGTTTGATTTGTTTGTTTCCCTTGTATTACAAGAGTCTTGCAGTCATTTTACAAGTCTCTGGCATCTCTAGGCTTTGAAGCAAGGCTCTGAACTTGAATGGAAAGTCAACCTGTCAGGAATCATGTATTCCTTTGTTCTCCCATGAATTTGCTTACTAGTGTCCATACTGTTATTTCAGTCTCAGTAGAGACCTGTGAGAATTAGGCAACTGTGTTGTCTCAAAATTTTATCTATTTGGAGCATCCCCTGCCTCCTCACGGAGTCATTCTGTACCTAGAATGCATATTTGACATTTTCACAGGAAAAAAACCTGTTACATCCTGGATTTACTGAGAATAATTTCCCAATACATTCCACCTTTGCTCTTAGTCTTGCTTCTTAGACCCCAGAGAGCAACCTTGTATGCTTGAAGGAGATAAAGGAGAAGAGAATGCAGCAGAGGTCGGCTGACCCTACCAACTTTACAACAGCATCTACAAATGAAGGATAAAGATTAAAAAATACAGGTGGTGTTCAAACCTGTTTTACATTTATTCACCTTTAAGTGCTTGACTTCACAAATTGAAATTATTTTCAGTGTAGGACCTTTTTAAAATTGTATTTTGAAGTGTAGAAGCTAATGCATACCTCAGCTTCAAAGGAAGGACAGGTGTGATCTGGAAACAATGTTCTTTTCGGCTTTGACACCCAACATAAGGAGTTTTTTAGTCTGATGTAGTAAAGATTCTTTCTAAATACATAAAACCATTGGGGATTATTAGGCTATAAGATCAGGAATACTATGGGTAGTTGTTTTGGATGTGGACCTTTTTGATTAGAATTTGTTGGTCTCTGTGAAGTAAGTTGGTCTCACTGCATTTCTAAGGGACATATCTTCAGCTCCTGATTATCTCCACTTCTGGCCTAAACAGTGACAAATAATTAATTTCATCACAGAAGGCACACAAGGTAGTATTAGAGGAGCAAAGTGTGAGTTACTTTGATTCTCAGGAGGCAGGAGTCAGTGAAGGACAGACAGCACTTTTGTTAGCTGTACTGCTCCAGTTTTGCTGAAGCACATAGAATTTAACTTTGGGTGACTCACTATTTTGCCTTCACATCTTGATTCTTGAATGTGTGATGCAAATTTGTCCTCAGTTTGACTGCTAGTTAAAAAGTGATTAATTTGAAGCTCTATTCTGTTTTCAGAGGAGGGAAACAAAGGTTATGGACCTGTTTTTGAGGAGCAACCTATTGATACCATTTATCCAGAAGAATCTTCAGATGGACAAGTTTCAATGAACTGCAGAGCTCGAGCAGTTCCTTTTCCTACTTACAGGTAACATCTCCTGTTTTGATTTTCTAATCTTGCATATTTTATTCAGCAGCTATTTCAGATTGTTTTATTAAATGACTGACTGTCTTAAAAGGTTGGAGTGAAGTCTTCAAGGTGGGAAAACATGTGGAGATACACAGTTTTTGAGTAAGACTCAACCTCGATTTGATTTGCCAAAATGTCTAATCAGTATTAAAAACAGTATATTGTGTTAAATATTTTCAGATTTTGAAAGAAATATTGATCCATATGTAATTTTTTTTTAAAAAAGTGACCTTTAAAAAGAATTTAGAGGCTATCTTTCCAACTTAGGATGCGGTTGGCAGAGGTTTGAGTCTTTGTTCTTTTTGATTCAGAATGGCTTTTTTAATTCTGTTTTACTTTGAAAGAAGTACTGATTGTTGAACTTGGATATTTTACATCCCATGTTGGTTTTGCATCCTCTGTGTTGCAGGGCAGTGATCAAGAATGTGTCAGCTATGCTACTGAAGACATGAAAATCTTCATTCTGAAAAAACATTTCAGCTCGTTTTAATACAGATTCCCACATTACTTCTTTCACAATAATTATATTATTGTAGAAAGTAATGCTTTGTTGTGCATTCATATGAGTTTGTCAGCCATTATCTGCTCATAGTGTGAAGAGAAATGTACTTAAGATTATTAAGACTGTGACTAAATTACAACCTGATCATAGGAAGAAAACTGCTGTAATTGTACTAAAGACAGACACAATATCTTGCCGGCAAAAGAGATCCATTTCAGTGAATTGCCCTATGACCTGCCCCCAATATTTACTTATGTGTGTTCCCAGACTGGTTTCCAGAACAGAAAAACCAATCAAGTCTGCTGGCTATTATTATAATCTGTTGCAGTGTTGTGGTGAACTATGGTATTCCTCCATCAAAACAGCTTACTTTATCTTCATTGCCTCTTTAAAAAATATGCTAAAAGGTTGTTTACTTGTACAGAACCACCATTTGAATATGACATTTTGTTGCACTTACTTCCTCTTACCATGCTTGGAAAGTGTGGAGAGATTACATATGCTAAGATTTGATACTCTTTGCTATACTTCCCCATCCCTTCCAGTTGGTCCAGGGACTCCCCCAGCTCTGTCTGCAAGACTGTAAAAACACCATCTATAGATGATTACAGGTTCTAAATAAATTTTGACATTCTTCTTTATCTATTGTGGGCTCAGCAAAATCTGAACTAGAAAAAACACTCTCAAAGAATTGCATTGCACCTCCAGAACTTCTCTGTCTAGGTGCAGATCTGACAATTAGCACTGATAGGTGATGAGATGAAAATTGCAGTACAGAATAAGGCCACTTTTCTTATTTCCTGACACATTATTTTTAGTATACCTCAATATGTTATCTTCATCTCAGCCCTCTACCAGTTATTGAGTCAAAATTCTTCTGTCTCGAAAGTAAATAAGTCCTTCCTGCAATTTTCATTGCAGAATGAGTTGTCCTCAGGATATTTATACCTAGATATTTCTGAATAGAAGATTTTTTTTTTTTTTTCGAGCACTGACATATAATGTGTCTAACAGGACTGAAGTGATACCTCTAGAACTCTATAAGATCAAAATGCTATTTTCTGCATCTTTAAAATTCTTCTACTTCATTAGATTTTGTTTTATTTGGTTTTGGTTTTGGGTTTTTTTTCCTTCTATGACAGTAGCAAGTTCTACTTCCAAATGAGAACTCTGCATATTTTGGTGCATCTTCAATAGTGAATGAACAGGTGGTGTGTGTATTATATTGTTAAATGCTAATGCCTAACCTTACCTTATGAAAAAAGAAAATATTTATGCAGAAATAATTTTATGATCTTTTAAATGTAATTAAGTTACATCTTTGCTATTTGTGCATAGAAACCCGGCAGTTCCTTTCTAAGGTAACAGGCTCCCTCTTGTGGACACAGTAATGGACACAAATATAAATCATGAGTACTTGTACCCACTCCGTGTTTTTTAACACTTCTTAAAATAAGTAGAAATCGGTCAGAACTGGGCCACCAGTTTCTTGCCTAATCCTTCAAGTGAAAATTGCAGTAATTCAGTGAATTGGCTGTGGAGTTTTACCATAACTAAGGGGAGAGTGTCCAGCAATTTACTGAAGCAATAGTAGGTATGTCTTTTATGAGGGATGCCACAGTTTTTGGACTGACTTTACTGGCATGTAATGTTTTATAAAACATTTTCATTATCTGCAGCAGGTTTAAAAAAATCTCTCATTACTCCATACTTTAAAAGTACAGAGGGAATATATTTTTATGCAATCTAGCCTTAGATATTTATTTGAGATAAGTGTAAAATCCATGTGTTTGGTGACTGGCTAGGTCATTCACAACCACCTCTTACTGCTTGGCCAGCAACTATGTTTCAACAAACTATGTCACTTCTCTAAGAAGGAAGAACTGACACTGTTGCATTTAAAAGACCTCTGGAGTTCAAATCTGTGCCTCTTGCTGAAGGAAAACTTAAAACTTGTATAGAAATATATTATGACATCCTGCATAGTTTGTCAGAATTTATGAGTTATTTTTCTCATAATTTTTCTTACCAGGTTTGCTTTTTGGGGCCAATCTTACATCTTGTTTTTCTTTTTTAATAGGTGGAAACTCAACAACTGGGATATTGATTTAACAAAGGAGCGGTACAGTATGGTGGGAGGCAGACTTGTTATCAATAATCCAGAGAAATCAAGGGATGCTGGAAAATATGTCTGTGTAGTGTCAAACGTCTTTGGAACTGTCAGAAGCAGTGAAGCCACTCTGAGTTTTGGATGTAAGCTGTTGTTTATGTCAGAATATAGAAAAATTATGGTTAGCTACGAACACCCAATGTTTTACACTGCAGTGTATTCTGCTGATGTGTGCTGTATGTGTACTGCTCTGTAAAATCAGTATCTTAAGTGCCTTAGTCTGCAGAGATCGACACAAAATAAATTTGTAAGCATTTTATATTCTTTAGCATTCAGCTGACATAACATAACAACCTTTCCAGTGAGTTATTGTTAAATTATTAATTGAAGAAACTCATGGGACCAGATCTGGAGATAATAATGTCCAGACTCTTTTAAAATCATGGTAGGACCTGAGGGGAAACAGTCACAGAAGAAAGACTTGAGTGGGGGCATATGGTGATGAGGTGCAGTGCAAGCACAACTGCAGGAGGAAGGCTCAGCACTTGCTAGTAAAGTATGCCCCGACTCCCAGGCTACAGTGAAAAAACTCTGCTGGGGGAAATTTCTGTCAACTTCTTACAGTCATGAGCTAGTCTTGAGAAGACATGTACATGTGCAGACCTGCATATCACCAAACACATGAATTGCAAAAAATTGATGTACTGCATGAAGAATAAGGCAAAATTTTATGGACTTAAGGCAGTGTTTGGGATTTATGTTTTATTTTGACTTAAGTTACCTTTTTTCCCAGATATATTTTATCATCAGAGGGCACAAAAAGAAATCCAAAACAAAGGAATCCACTCTAACTGGGGTCCATTCACAAAGCCCTAGGTGCCCTGACACTAAGGGTTTGGTGCCCCTCTTGTCTTTCACTAGCCTCCATAAGTTGAATTCATTCCTTGCTGTAGAAGATGAGACATTTAGTGAAAAGTTCAGCTTTCTGATAATACTTGTGGGACTACAAATATTAGGGAAAGTCAGAAACTATAATGAGCTAATAGATCATATCATTGTTGATATAGTCTTAGTCTGTATTTAGCCAGTGTATCTTCTAGAAAAAAAAATTAAGGGCCAGGTTGTTACTTTTTTTTAATGGAGAAAACATCAACATTCCATTTATGGGATATTTATTTATACCTGAAGCAGGCTTCAGTCATGTCAGTCCTGAATAATCAATAGGATAAAAAAAAATAAACCAATAAACCTAATAGATTAAAAAAATAAATAGAACTAAAACAGTCTGAGGTATGTTTTCTGCCTCCCAGCTCACTGTCTGCATGAGCTGAATGTTGATAGTATACTGGAAATTGTGCTGAACAGAACACTAATATACAGTGTTTCAAAATGTAAACTAAAATAGGGTAAAGAGGTAAGGAATAGTGAAAAGATAGCTGGAAACTGATAAATATATTTTAAAAAAGCACCTGCTTTCTTTCTTCTTTATACTCTTGTATTTCTTCCTTTCTCCTTTTTAATGATCATCTACAGATCATTTATACATTTAAACATTTATTTCTACAATCACTGTTTCTAAAGAACTGAATAGAGTTGCTAAAATTAATATAGAAAATGTCTGACCTTTAGTGTGAGGTTTTTTCTTTTGCTTATGCATAAACTGAATGAAAAATGTCAACAACCATTTAGAAAAGTTCAAAAGTCTTGACCAGCTGTAATTTTGTTTTGCTATCAAATTTACTGAAACTGTGGAACAAAACCCACATTCTCTCATATACTTCATCAATTAGTCCATCTGAGAATATTGTACGTACTTTTTAGATCCAGTGCCTTAACACTCATTAAAATATTTTAAACCTAACTACTCTTAGAGATAAAGTCTGCATAACTTTTTTCTTTCCCCTGGCATTTAAAATTATGATGACAAAATTAACAAAAAATTCATTGGTAATGACAAATAAGCAAAACTTGCATTAGGGGTCAACAAGTTTCTATCTGCCATATATTGGTGTATTTCTATGCTAATCGCTACAGGACAGAATGTAATGACAATAATAGAAAGTTACTGTAGTTAAAATCCCTATTCTTCTCCCCTTGCTTATTTAAAAACTAGATCTGGATCCCTTTCCACCTGAGGAACGTTATGAGGTTAAAGTGCGAGAAGGTGTTGGAGCAGTGCTTCTTTGTGAGCCCCCTTACCACTATCCAGGTAATTCAGCTCAAAGTGCTTAATTTTCAATGTCTGAAGAGTAAAAGATGAATTCGTATTTATTTTTGCATGTTTCCTTTATATTGACTTGAACAGTAACTTTTGTGCAGCTTGAGAATTACCAGTTAGGTTAGGTTTCTGTTTTGAATGTTTGTTGTTGACCATATGTTGACTGTTCTTTCCACCTAGTAAAGTCACGTCAACTGCTATGGTCATGCGCTTCTGTTAAAATCATGGAACAGCAGAAGCACCCCAGAGGGTCAGAGATGAGTTTATTTATTCTGTGGAAGGGACTTTTTTCTCATCATTAGCTACTGAAGAGCTCTGCAGGGAGTATACCCATAATCTCAAGCATCTGGAGTTCCATCATGAGGGATGAAATTGGCTGTTAGCGTCTCTTCTACCTTGTAAAATGGAATGATTTAGTTTTCATGCTCAGTTTAAGCATTGTAAGGAACTGAAGAATGGAGACATATTACTACTTAAAATATTCTAAGGTTTTGTCTAAATCACAGGACTGGTGAACAGTTCCCAGCTTCTCAGTTGCATGAGGTGAAAACCCAGCTGCCTCTCTCATCCCATCCCACTCAGTTCCTGTGGGATGGGTGTGCCCAGGGCAAGGTGTGCATACTGTAGCCAGGTCCCAGTAACCTGTACTGACAGCAGCAGTGCCCCAGTGTTCACTGTAGACAGGAATGAGCTGGTTGCTGAGACATGCATAGATCTCTGTCACATAGCTGCCTCTCCAAAAAAAATATCTATACCTAGAAATTAGACTCAAGTGATTTATAATCAGGCAGTATTCTGTGGTTTAAATAGCTGATAGTGTTGGATTTTAATATTGACTAAAATATTTTCCTCCAGATGACCTCAGTTATCGCTGGCTTCTAAATGAGTTCCCAGTGTTCATTGCTTTGGACAAACGACGATTTGTGTCACAGACTAATGGCAATCTCTACATTGCAAATGTGGAAGCATCAGATAAGGGCAATTATTCATGTTTTGTGTCCAGCCCTTCAATAACAAAGAGTGTATTCAGTAAATTTATTCCACTTATTCCACAATCTGATCGTAAGTATTTATTGGAAATACTATGCACAGCATTTTCACTGTTTGTATTGTAATTTTGCTAATTCATAACTCCTTTAATTTCTGTAAGGAGAGTTATATGGCAAGTTATAATGGCTGCTGCACAATGTTACTTGGTGTTTCAGATGCAGAGGTACAAATCATTCCCATTCACAGTGAAAACTGTGAAAGAAATCTCCATTGATTAATTCACAAATTTCCTTTCAAATCATTGAGAACAGAGTTCTTATCCCCAGAATCCCCATTTCTTTTATGTGATAAGCCCCTGATCCCAAAATCTTCAGTATCTTTTCTAGTCTTGGCATTGGTTCAAAAGAGAATGACTGAAAAGTAGAAACTTCATGTAAATGTTGATGAACAGCTTCAGGATTTACTTCTTTTCCCCCAAAAATCCCCCATGAAAGAGGAAAATCCTTTTACCCTGATGAAACTTCCTATCCAAGAGTGGCCTGAGAGCTATGTGTCTCATGTCAATCTCCTAAGGCACCTCTGTGGCTTTGTGTAACTGGATTATTTGCCACCGTTTCTTCAGGAGAACTGCATGTTTTCTAAATAGGAACCAAATTCCCTTTTGCCACTTCAGACTGTCAGTCAGTAGGTTCTAATAAACTTATCATCAATTTTTCAGTGACTCTTTTATCTGTATTTTCCATATTAATGATTGAATTAATATAATTTCAAATTAGTGATCTTTGACCAAATATTCCAGTATTCACACTGTCTTCTTCATCTAGAACTGCAAGAGGGTTCCTGCAGGGATTGCTAGTAGGGAGATTGACATCCCATTGCACTCATTAAACTGTAGATGTGCTTGCTCTAGCTCCTTCATACTGAGATAAAATTGAGCTTAAATTCAAAATAACTCAAAATATTCTATCCAGTAAAAAACCTGTGAAAAAACAGACTCAGGTTTTTGTCTACCCACACATAAGTGTTCATCACCACGCTTTAAATGTAATTAGAAATTCTGTAAAAAATGTTAGGATTAGTCATCTAGAGAAAGATAACTAGTTGCTGAGTAAAACAATTATGCCTTACTAGTAAAAGTTCAGTTCTTAGTCAGACTTTATGATCTGACAGGCTGTTGCAGTGTAAAGAAGAATTTTGTCTGGAATTTTAAGAAAAGTTTTATTGAACTGTGTAAATTTTAGTAGCTCTATAACTTTTTGACATGCCAAATTTTTTTTCGTATTAGGAGCAAAAGTATATCCTGCTGATATCAAGGTGAAGTTCAAGGACACATACGCTCTCCTGGGACAAAACGTGACACTGGAGTGTTTTGCTCTTGGAAAGTAAGTGTGTTTTAAAGTTATTGTACAGCACGAATTGCTTTCATATTTCAGGGAATGAAAATACATATTTCATGACCAAATGCTCTTTTTGTAGTCTGCAATTTAACCACCAGTTCTTGAACACTCTCATTTGTACTTTACTGTACCTTTTCAAGTCCGGTTCCTGAACTCAGATGGAGTAAATACCTTGAGCCCTTGCCAGCCTCTGCCGAGATAAGCATGTCTGGTGCAGTTCTTAAGATCTTCAATATTCAGTATGAAGATGAAGGACTTTATGAGTGTGAAGCTGAAAACTATAAAGGAAAAGATAAACACCAAGCAAGAGTTTATGTACAAGGTAGGAAGAACAATTTTATTCTTGACGATCTGTGTTGCTTTTACTTAGGTTAGAAATGTCTGTGTTTTCACAGTTGAATTCTGTGTTGATTCGTACCATCATCCTTACACACTGCTGTTCAAGTTAATAGAGCAGCATCAAAATTAAATGGAAGGCATGATATTTATGTGTTAATTGTCTGGTTAGATAGCTGGCATATATACTTTGACACTTCTGTGTTACCTGTTATAGGTTTGTTAGGATTTCTTGTTTTCTTATTTTGTTTGTGTTTTCTGTCTTAGCTGTCTGTCTTATTAGCTATGCACAGGTCTTTATTCCTCCACCCTCTGTCACTTCCCTTTATGCATTTGGTTAAATTAAGTAGCCAAAAATTGTATCTTACAATAGCGAAATCACCCCAAGTAACTTGGCTTCTTGTCTGAGGTTTATGCCACAAAACCATGACATGAAAAGGTCACACGTAACATCTGAACCACTCTCAGAAGATTTATGTCTCTTTCATTGGTTGAACAGAAGGTCTTCTGAGTTAAGATCCTCAGTTAAGTGGTAGAACTTCAGAAGATCAAACTCAGAATTAGTGTGACAAGGTTATTACTGCATATAATAAGTAAAGCTAATAAATTGGTTTGTTTTTTTGCTTAGCAAAAGCAAATATGTAGGACTGTTTCAATATTAATTTCTTACATATACTGTTTGTATCAAGAGAATAATTTCTTGGAGATCCTTTCAGTACGTACACAGTTTTGCACAATTTCATGTCATTTAACTATCATTTTCGTGGTGCTACTGAGTAATTTCCACACTGAATAATCTACAGATCAATATAAGTGGTGATATCTTATGTCTTCTGTCATTCAGGAACCATTATTTCAATTCCATGTTTTCTTCTCATAAAAAAGAGTTTGAAGCTTTTCTGAATCTATGTTGTAAGACAAAACCTTCTTTTTTGTGCTGGTGCTTTGCTGAGTTATCATCATTACTGTGAGTTGCCTGTTTAAGTATCATGGAAAAAGCAGTGGAATTAATACAACGTAATGATAATTAAATATGTATGCACTGCATTTACAATACATCATGTATTTTATTTTGCAGCTGCTCCTGAGTGGGTAGAACATATCAATGACACAGAAAGGGATATAGGCAGTGACCTGTACTGGCCTTGTGTAGCTACAGGCAAGCCTATTCCAACAATTAGGTGGCTGAAGAATGGTGCCTCGGTGAGTGTATTGCTGTAGGTAACATAGGTTTGAGTGGTTAGGTCATGAAAGCAGTTTTTTGAAGCATGCATTATTAAAAAGTTAAAGGAAAAATAATTATAATGATCTAAATATTTCTTGATGCCACTTGCATGAGGCATTAAAATCTATTTTTAAAAGTTTCATCTCAGTCTTCTCTTATTTCTTCAGGCTATTTAGTATTCAGCTTTGAATTATGAACTTAACTTTTGACCACATGTTTAGGAGGTAGATATCCTTTTTTCTCCAGGCCTTTTTAAGTAAATACTCTTCAGTCTGAATTAAAAAAAAAGTCAGCTTTTCTTTAAAATTAATCCTTTTTACCAGATTAAACATGAATGTATCTTTAAAAATATAAGTCAAAATAGTCAGCAGAGATATGAAAATGAAGATTTTTTTTTAAAGTATCACTGGTCTTTCTATATCCTGTATTTTTTCACATTTTTTTCTAGACACAGAGTGTTGCAAATGTTTAGGTGATGTTTAAAAAAAGTTTAAAGAAGTACTGTTTGATAATTTAATTCTATTACATTGGTTATTTGGTTTAAACAAAGTAAATTTTCTCTCCTAGTATCCTGTAATCATAGAATGGTTTGTGTTGGAAGGTGCTTTAAAGATTGTTTAGTTCCAACCCCCGAACCATGGGCAGGGGCACCTTTCACTAGCCTTGGTTGCTCAGAACTCCATCCAGCCTGCCCTTGAACAATTCCAGGGGCGGGACATCCACAGCTTCTCTGGGAAAAACCTGTTCAGGCATTTCAACAGTGTATTCAAAGTCTAGTGCTTACACTGCATGAAAAGCCATTAAACACAAGAGAATAGGAGGGCACAGTGCAGCTCTGTAGTCTGCTGAGCTGTAGTGACTATTGGCAAACAAACAAAAAAGACAATGAGGCAGCTTGGGTTTTGACTGTGTATCTTAAGAAAAATGTATGATGTTGGAGGCAGAGCAGGGATATCACCATCTGCTATGTGGAGGTGGCTTAAACCAGGAAAAACAATGTTTTTGTCTAGCTTTGGTGGTTATTGCAAACAAATAATTTAACAAGTGAGTTACTTGCTGGTCCCCACTGAACTTGGCTTTCATGAACAAAATCTGCATACTGGAATGCAGAACACACTGTGCAATTCTCCAGTACTACACTAGAAGATTATGCTGTGTGTTACTATGATGATAAGATGATTTCCAAATGGAAGAGAGCAGCAATGTTAATTGCCTTGAAAATATAATTTGTTTCTAAATCAGATAATTTGTAATTAGGCCTTTCATTTAGAGCACAACAAAGATTCCTTGTATAAAATCTGATTAAAACATTTTCACATAAAATAGTCAGAAAATATGCTTCTTTAATCTGTTCTCTTTTCAGCTAAGTACTATTCTCTTAATCTTCCACTGCCCCATGCACTCCAGTGCACTTAGATACAAGATTTAAAGCTTTCAGCTTCATTTTCTCAAGAAAACAGAACACATTAAGATGATCTTTCAAAAACTGATTGACATCTGCATTTACAAAACACCCCACCTTAACTACCTTATTTTGATTGACTGGTTTTTGCTTTTTTGCGTTAAAACCAAGTAATAGAAGATAGTTCGTACTTACAATCTTTCAGAGGAATCTTCTGAAAAACTCCTACCTCACTGGGACTTGCTTTTTCTTGTTGTAAAATGATGTAACAACAGAAAGCACTGACGAGTGAGCATGGCATGACAAAGCTTATGTGCATAAAATTAATTTAATTCCTTGTTTCTTATTTTTGAATCACTAATATGCATTGATATGATAACAGGGAGCTGGAGAGTAAATTTCTCTACTGACACTCAACTAGGACTTTACCAGAAACTTAAATATTGAATGATAATGACTCTTTAGAAAAAGGTGAACCCAATGTTACTGAAAAAAAAAAAAAAAAGAACGTGGATGGATCTGAATTCTTCAGCTTATGTAGTTTATGTTAATATCTTGTTATTTTATTGATTCTGTGTTTTAGTTCCGGAAAGGTGAACTAAGAATGCAAAGTCTGACCTTTGACGATGCCGGCATGTACCAGTGTATAGCAGAAAACATGCATGGAATTATTTATGCAAATGCTGAACTGAAGATTGTGGGTCAGTGGGATTATTTCTCTATTTACTATTTCAGGCTTGAGTAAGATAGCAGTTATATTTGCAAGTACTGTTTGGTAACAGATTCCTGTGAGGATGAAGCTAAGAACTCTCACTCAGTCTAGGTGAGATGGGGTTTATTTGAGCTCTCTAGCTGGTTTTTGACAACAACTTGAGGAATACATTTACCAACTTGTGTGGCATGTTTTCTGTTTGTATTTATGATGCTTGTTTCCTGGTCTTCCCCCTCAGAGGAGCTGATAATGCTGAAGTTTTATGAAGCACAGAGTTACAGCCTAAACATTTAAGCTTGCAAAACTGGTTAAGAGGCGTTTTCATTTTTGCTCACGTATGATCACTCACTCCTCTGTGAGGCAAAATCTGCTTTTTAAGAAACGATGTTGTTACTTACTTGGCCTTTGAAGCTCTTCATTTTTGTTTTCGCCTTTGGTTTTGCTTTCTGCAGCCCCTTACACTGACGTCACAATGTTTGGTTTTGCCCACAAATAGCTGTGCCATTTGATGGCTGGATGTAGTTATGAATCCCCTGTGTTTTCCTGAGGAGCATCCTGTTGAAAGTTTGACTCTTAGATTCAGAATTCTCAGCCTTTAAAAAAATTTTGATGTTTTTACTGATTTCATTAGAGCAGACACACTGGCTGTATGACATATTTTTCTAGATTTCCCTGTGGTAGTTGCTGTTCTTTCCATCTCACACTTGCCTTCAGACTTTCCCAAGAGCTAAACTATTCTTGGTTTTCCCAACCCATTGTACAACAATGCTTCATTCTGCACTGTTCTCCCATTACTATGTACTCACTACCAGCTTGGTTTACACAAAATTAGCACTTTTTATATGTGCGTTTTCAAAATTCTGTGTCGATAATATGTGGATATTGGTCAGGGTTTTGCTCTGTACTTCTGTAATTAAATAATAGCCTTATTTCCTCAGGCTGTGCACAAACTTGCTGGCATGATTAACTTGCTGGTATGCCAAGATGCAAAATAATTAAAAGCTGTTTATCTTTCATTTGGTTTCAAATACAGGAAAAATTAGTAAGCCAAGATCTGACTTCAGAGACATAAGTGTGGTGCTTATGATAGTCACATCTCAATGCTCTTTTACATCTGAGAATGCACCTATGGCCAGCTGGCCAAACAGAAAACCACAAAGAGTAAGAAGGTCACAATTGTAGTTTGTAGAGAGGGTTAAAACCACTGAAAAGTAAACCCAACTATTCTTTGGAATTATGATTGAGTGAGCAACTTGTTAAAGAAATTTATCTCCAGGAATCTGAATTTTATTAGGACTGATCAAAAGGCCTTTTCAAAGGGAGGAACCTTCAGTGGACTTTGATCTTGTTAGATTAAACTCAGATGAAAGTTCAGAAATCAATAGAAAGAAACCTCTGGTGTAAAACAGCACAGAACTACGTAATGATTTTTCCTGTTTCTTGTAGATCATCATGTACTTCCAGTACATCTCTGTATCATTAATATTTTTCTCACTAGTCTGCATAATGAACATTTGTAAACAATTCAATAGTTCTGTTATTTATTGTATGTTGGAAAAAAATTCTACTTTGCAGTTAAATCACTAACAGCAGTATTTGTGTTAATTTTTGCTTTCAGCTTCACCTCCTACTTTTGAACTGAACCCTATGAAGAAGAAAATCCTAGCAGCTAAAGGGGGGCGTGTAATCATTGAATGCAAGCCTAAAGCTGCTCCTAAGCCAAAATTCTCCTGGAGCAAAGGAACAGAATTGCTTGTAAATGGGAGCCGGTAAGTATTGGCTGTCAGTGAACACTTTGAGCCTTAAAAATGTAACCTTATGTATCTGTCTGTGTGTCCTGTAAGATGATTCTCCGTTTTGCAGACTTCAGTGACAGGAGAATGTGTTACTTCAGGAAAATAATATGCCAAAATGGTGCTGGCAGTACGGATTCAAAGAGCTAGCATAGTATCCAACTTTACCCAGTCTGGTTTAAGAATTGAATTGTACCATAAAACTCTAAGAAAAATACTTGAATGAGTACAAGTGAATAGAAGTACATTCTCTTGCTCCAGCAATCTGAGACATCTAATCATGCCACAGTCCCTTTAAATATTTTTATTGTAGGTGTGTTTATAAAACCAGTAGTTAAATGCGAGCTTTCATGTGATGTTTGTAATTTGTTTTTTCACTTACTACAGTTCTACAGGAAGCACTGCTTTCTAATATAGAATTTAATTTCTCTGGCACTTTCCATAGCATACGTATCTGGGATGATGGGAGCTTGGAAATTATCAATGTCACAAAGCTGGATGAAGGTCGCTACACCTGTTTTGCAGAAAATAACCGAGGAAAAGCCAATAGCACTGGTGTTCTAGAAATGACAGGTAAGCCTCAGAACTGCCTTAGTTTGTCTTGGGCAGAATCCCTTAGTTCAAAATGACTAATTTTTGTTCCAGCATTGCATTACTTTTTCAAGCTGTTTTACATCTTTCTAATTTAATTGCTCATTAACACTGAATTGATGCTTTTAAAGCATATTGCTCAGTTGAAACTGGGTATGGTTGCATCAGTTCTAACACTGAATCTCAGTTTTCAGGGTTGATTTTTCCATAAGAGATTACTAAACAAGATACATTAAATTGGCATATTTTAATGCATTCCCTTTATTGTGTAGCTCAGCACTCATGCTAAGGCATGATTCTTGGGCCATAACTTGGAGAAATGGGACTCCTGATGACCTTCCCTAGTGTTGTGTTTTTTTGTTTTGTAGGGGCTTTGGTTTGGTTTGGTTTGTTTCTTAGTTTGTTTTGGTGGTGGTTTTGGTGTTGTGGTGGTGGTGGTATGAGTATGTTTGAGAGAGCATTGCTGTTAAAGGAATATGCATGAAAATATTGAAATAGGGGCATATATCCATATGATTGCACTTCTAAATTACCTTCCTTTATCAGTATTTTTATTTACCGATTGAGTACTGGTATCCTTATGTGTATTTTAAATCTGATGTCAAATAACTGAATAACTGTAGACTACAGACAGGAAGGACAGCATTCTATAATACCTGTATTTATGAAGCACTACTAATAGTGGAAGAATCGTTTGTCAAATAGGTTTTTAATCTCTGTTCCAGAAATCATACTGGATGTGACAGCTCAATGCTGATGTGCTTTCTTCCTTTTCTTGTATTGTTTTCTCTTTCTCACAAGTAGCTATTTACACAATTTGTTATGCATTTATTATATTGTTTCTCAATAGATAAATTTAAGTTTAAATTAAGATCACAATCCCTGCAATGCTTTAATGAAAATCTCACTCAGCCTGAGTAGAACTTTTCATTCATTAAAGAGACAAGTCTTAAAACATAGGAAATATATAATTGAAACAAGAAATGCAACAGAAGTCATGTAAGATTCATCATGTGTCTTCTTTCTACTTGAGACATAGTCAATGAATAAAAATAGTTGTAATATGATTCAGAGATTTAAACAGCTAAACAGAAGCCAGGTATTTTAGTTGTAAAATGCTTTCTTTGTTGTCTTCAGTTTGGTCCTTTGAAATGTAGTTGTATGAATAACAAGTAAACTAGACTTTGAGGGAGTGGTTTAATATATGATCAAACAGTTATGGAGCTGAGCTTATATTTTAATAAATATTTATTGGAATTTTCCATGTTTGCCATTAACTTCACAGAAGCTACAAGAATTACTTTAGCTCCGTTGAATGTTGATGTCACCGTTGGAGAGAATGCTACCATGCAATGCATTGCATCCCACGATCCCACATTGGACCTGACATTTATCTGGTCTCTAAATGGCTTTGTAATAGATTTCGAGAAAGAACACGAACATTATGAACGGAATGTTATGGTAAGAGACTATAGATCCTTATTTAATACATGAAAGCCTAGGTGTCTTTTCTGTGTTAGTTTGGGTCCAGTAGGCCAAGAACATAAAATAGAATTACAATTCAGACATCTTACAGACACATAGACACTTGCAGGCAGATACCTGAAATCAGATATCTAAATTGATGTAAGTATTTTGGTACCTCAGTTAAATCCCACTCTGATTATTAGTGAAAATAGCTGGTAAGTAGATAGCCTGATTGTAAACAGGGTGCAAATTACCTCAAAAAAGTTTGCATATGCATTCATTTTTACTTACCCATGTTTTTATCAACATTTCTGGAATTTGGCTCAGAACAGGGCCAGATGGTGGGTAGGAGTCAAACAGGCTATAAACACTGAGGAAGAACAGTTTGTGAGAGAGCTAAACAAGTTAATACAAAGACACTCATTTTGGCATGTAGAACAATCATAGTTCCTTTGTATTTGCATGTATGGTTATGTTTTTAGAGTCTTCTACCAGGTTTATTTAAAATCAATATCTCTATTAGAAATCCTTTCTTGTTATGTCTAATCACATGCTGATTTGCCTAATATTCAGCAACCTCCAAGTCGTTGCCTACTTGTGTAAATATTTATTCTGGTTTTCTGGATTTAAATGATACAAAAATACTTATATTTAGATAACTTTTTTTTTGTGCTCCTGAGAGAAACTGTAGGTATGGAGAGAAATAGTTGCTAATGGTAGTTGTAGTGTCTGGAAGCACCAGGGACCACATTTAGTTTCAGCTCTGTGTTCAAAGTGATCTACCAGTGCCCCCTGAGGAGTCCTTCTCTTAGGCTGGCAATGTTATCTGATTTTCCGTGGACCAAGAGGTTTCTCTTTTTTGCTTTCAGTATCTGTTTATCTCCATGTGAAAATATGTTTAAAGTGTAACTATTTTAGTGTGATTTGGAACAAAACAGCCCTTTGAGGAGTCAAGAGTTGCCTCAACCTGCTCATTTGCTGAGTTGTAAGACATAGTTGAGAAGCCACACACTCCCTTTCAGTGAGAGAACATGTCCTGGTCCAACAATCCAGTAGAAGTATGCTAAGATCAGCTGATGAACATTCAAACCAAAAGACATACACTCTGCAATAAATCTCCTGAAAGGCTGTGTCCACACTCAGTAGCAGGGTATTGAGTAGTCTGCAGTGTGTTTTCTGTTGCCTCAGGAATAAGTGTGCAGTTATTCTCCAGTACACTGAGAAAACCTTTCAAAACATTTCCTGCAGGTGGCTATTAAGTCACACTTTTGATAGGTCTACATTTACACTCCAGTAGAGTAATTGATGCATAGGAATACCTTGGAAAATTGGAAAATACCTTGCATTTCCTCCTAATTGTATTAATTTGTCCTTAGGTAAAGACTAGAATGAGTCTGAGTGTCAGAAAAAATAAGAGCTTAAAGAGTAAAGCCCCAGTAAATTTACTCCTTGTAAAAGAGCAAATAAAATCAGTGTGTCAGATTTTATTTAGTTGATTGCTTTTAGCTATCTGACAGATGTCACACAAAGAAATTTGTTCCATAGAACACAAAAGCAGACTGAAAGTGTTGATGAAGTGGTTATTTTGGTGTGGAAGGAAGGTAAAAATGGCTTTATCAGAAGAGTTTGTAGTGCAAGAGAAAGTACTCCATCTGTGGGTCATGTGTTGAACATGTTAAACAAAAAAAATTTATATCACTGATACACACTTTTGGGATTTCCTCTAAATAATAGAAATAGAAGTAAACTGGATTTTTTTTTCTTTTAGGGGAAATTAATTTTGAAATTTAATCATGCTTTTAAGGTACTTTCTAGCAAAGCATTCCAAGTTGACAAATATGGGACCAAATAAGGCCTTCAGAAAATGTGTAATTCTCTTAGAAGATTGACACTATTTAGTTCCCAGCTACCTCTTTCATCTTCCAGATCGCCAGTGGTCCTGGACTCCTGATCTCAAATTCTGATTATGACCACAATATTTTAGACCCTTTGTTGAAGTTCTTCATTTCAAAACCGAATTACCCTAACTTTTCTAGACTACCTTGTTCCCTACAAACTTTCTGTGGTCTGCAGAGGGAGATAAGGAGGTGCTTCTCTTCATGTGGATGTTGAATCTTGTGCTGGAATGTTTCCTTTTTCAATATAGGGATGGATACTCCACAGGATTCAGAAGAAGATGAAGAACTCTTAATTCACTTGGACCTTTAAGTAGTTTAGATCTAAATATCAATTAATTTACTTCAGGACACCCTGAAGGATATCCTTCTTCCTGAAGGATATTTCTTGTTTTGTTTTGCATTTGATCTGTCAAAACTGGTAGAAATTTTTTTAGCAGAGGCATCTTCTTGTTTTGCATTCCTAAGCCTTAATTCTGGGCTTTCAAATGCAAAGCAAGTGCAAATAGTCTTTGTTACACTTCCACGGGTACCTTGGTTTTTATCTGGGACAGAGGAGAAAATAGGATTGCTTATGAAGTCTGCATTTGTAGGTGTTAGGTGGTTCAGTGCTTAAGTAATAACAAATGCAGAATTTTTAACAAATTCAGCAAATCCAATGCAACGGTTTATGTAGGATATAATTAAGACGAATATGCAGTTTCTGTATTTCTGTTCTATTGATTTGTTATTGTATTGTAGCATTCAGGGTTTTTCTCCTTCCTGTGCAAGCAAATGGATTTTCTCTTTTCTCCTGCCAGTTTCCCTCTCCCTGGCAATTCTGGGCTGAAGTCACTGGGTGGCAGGTTTGCTCAGGCTCTCTTGGATGTACAGGGTGAGCTGGTTTACACTTGATAGCAGCAGCCTGAGCTGCTGAGCTTGAAACGTGCTCACCAGCACTTCACAAACACAAAAGAAAAAGATACTCCGCTGTGATTATTAAGATTACTGGCTATATAAAGCATGTGCATGATTTCCTGTTGATGAAGGATCCTCATCTGTCCCTCTGATAATATCACTATTAATTTATGTGACTATGCAGATCAGGTTCCTGAAACTTGATAGAGCCACACTATTTCAGTTCTCAAAATAATACTATTATTATTGTCATATAGACATAATGAAATGCTAATTAAATTCAGCAAACACCTGCATAATTATTCTTTCTTTAAATGCAAGCTTTAGTATCTCCATCATTGCTGAAGGCAAAGCTAATTTGCATTACATTAATACGAAAACTAGTTTCTCAAAAGGACATTTGTCAGTTCTGTTTTCATTTCCTGTGACAGTACTATGTAAAGGGGGAAAAAAAGAGAAAAAAATTGTTTAGTTTCCGAAGAGTCAAATGGAGTCTTCAAAATCTTACTATTAAATAGATTACTTTTAGCTTTATATATGGTTGTTCCTCTGATTATTTGATTGAAGAATTAAACATTAACATATCTTTTCAAGTCCCAAAAAGATACAGCTCTTCAAGTAATCTGGAAACCTCTAATGTTTGTTTGCTATTTATAGATATGCTTTCTGTCATGTATTTTTAAAGATTACTTTTAAGATGTTTATATTAAAAAACATTTTAAAATATATGAAGTATCAAAAAAGGAATATTCCTTTAAGTTCATTACAAAAAAAGAGTATTATTTTATACATTTGAGTCCCACTAGTCCATTCGTATGGATAGTCAGGAGAAAGAAATTAATAATTTAACTGGTTCAAGTCAGAAATTTGTATGTAGACTTGAGAAGAGTTCAAGTTTAGGCTGTAGTTGTCTTAGTGACATAATGACACAAATACCTTTTAAAAGGCTTCCTATACCAGTAGTATTTATGTTTGCTACATTACTTATTAGTTGTCTTAATTGATATCAGTGAACCTGAAACTCTGATATTTTTATGACCATTTTATCTTTAATAAAGATAATCTGAATTGCAGTACAAGTATTCAGGAAGTTGACCTTCTTGCAAATAGTTTTCTTCTTTAAGTATTCAAAGGAAGAGTGAATGGTGATAGAAACGTACAGTAAAGCCAGGTGATGAATTTTGTTAGAGACAACTGACTTGCTACCTCCTCACATTTTCTCATATAAAGGGGCATTTCCCAAGCTGATGTGACACACCTCAGTGTTCTACAGAGACACTCTCATGACTGCTACAGAGCAGGAAGCAAAACCTGCTGAATCCACACTGACTCTGAAGTGTGAATTTCAGGTTTGCAGTGTTCTCTCCAGTGTTCATAGGTGCAGGGACATGACACAAAGGCAGACAAATACATTCAGCATAGAACTTGCAGGACCCACAGCTCAGGCTCTATTCAGCTTTGAAGTAGCTTCTGAATCCAAGGTGTCTGTGCATAACCACCTCCGTATCCCTGCAGCTATCTTGTGGTTAATCTGCAGTAGTGTAGACTTCTCTGAATACTGAAAAGCTCGCTTTTTCATTATGCAAATATTATTCCTCTTGCTTTATCTCTCTTTAAGTACAGAAAGCTTTACAGTGTTCTAGGATGACACTCATAATATTCTGGACATACACAGCCAGACAGGTACTTTTCACACTTAAATAAATGCAACACAAATGGAAGACCCTGTTTATTTAATTGTTAAAGGCGATTATTCCAGATGCCAAAATTCACACTGCAGATTTCTAAAAGTGGTGAGATGAATTCTAGATTGGAGACTGTGTTTGCCAAAACACTTTGTTTCTTCTCCAAAACTGATGTTTTTATAAGCAACAAAGAACAAGTTGAACTATAAAAGTCATATTAGAAGAGTAGAGATTTACAGCTGCCTGTTTTTTATACATTATTTTAAATTGCAGTTTGTTGGCTGATATGGATAGACCAAGTTATTCTACTGCTTCAATTGATTGCTATGGAGACAGTTTTATTGTATAAATCTGTATTCCAACACAAACTATTCTGTGATTCTATGATTCCACTTTTACCTGCAGCAGAAAACATACAAGGATTTTAATTTCCATTTTTCTTTATCAGTTTCCCTGGTAATCCTCCTTGCAGAGTGTTTAGTGTAGCTCCAGATATAGACCAGGAAATTAATAGAAA